TTGAGGCTGAAACAGAAACACATGTGCGTGCGTGACTGTAGCCAGCCTCCACACCTGTGGGCTCCGGGGCTTCGGCTATGTATGGTTATTTTATTCTTTTATAGAGAGGCTTTTGCTAGATGGCACGTGTGCTTGCCGGAGAGACAGAGACGAAAAGTGGGAAATCACCCCTCAGGGAGGATGGCCACCCTATAATCCCTTCTCCTTCATTCTCCCAGGATCTTGGGCACGCTCGCTCACGCGCCTGGTGTGAGTTTCAAACCACCGGGTCTGGGACTTGAACCACAGCTGGCCACGTGGGAGTCCCGCAACAAAACCATTATGCCATCTGCTGGTCCCACTATTTACAGTTTTGTTGCTTTGGGGAGTGACCAGAGGTGGCTTTAAGGGCATGAAAAGGTGGGCTAGGCCGTTTGCAAGCGCCGTGCCTTCACACGAGGGACTGTGCCCTTCGCGAGCCTCGGTGTCCACAGGGAATCTCCGGGTCGTGGCCCCAGTCCCTGAGGAGACAGAGAAGGTGAATGGAATAAACCAGAATTTTCGCAAAGAATTGAAGAGCCAGATATTAGGCAGGATGCAGAAACCTCGCAGCTTACTGAGACACCGCGGGGTCACAGGAAGTGACCGGACAGGCTCTGAGCTCTAGGGAAGGGAGAGAGCCACCTCCCCCTCCTGGCTCCTGTTCTCCGAGACCCTCCCAAAGGTGGCCCTCCCGCCCCTCCAGGGCCGATGTCTGAGTGTGTGGTGGTGGAGTGCTGGCCAGGCAGAGGTGAGGGTGGGCGAGGTGGGCGACGGCGGGCCCAGTGGGTCCTGGCAGGGCTGGCTGGGGGTGTGCCGCAGGCTCCCAGGCGGGTCTCCTTCCTTACAGGAGAGTGGAGTGACAAGGACAGGGTGGACCGATGAGCCTGGCCCAGGGGCCTCCTGCTGCGGCCCAGGCTCTGCCCCTACAGGAGGGAGTCTGGGGGCCCCACTCTCCCTGTAGCTCCATGACGGCCCAGCGCCCCTTGCCTCCTCTGCTGCTGTGTCCTCCCCTCTTCGGACCTCACGTCGTCAGGGTCCTGCAGCCCTCTGCTCCCCCTGAGCTACCTGGTGGTGCTTCCAGCCCTGCCCCGAGAGCCAGAAGGCACTGCAACCCCTCCTGAGCACGCCTGCCTATCCAAAGGCCCTTCTACTCCACCAGATGGAACCCACGGTCCGCCTCATGGCCGGGGCCCAGCTGCGCCCTGCGAGCTCTGCTGGTGAGCGGCACAAGCTCTGTCCCCTTGCCTGGCCAGGAGCTGGTGTCCTGCACCTACGCGCCTCACTCTGGGCCTGTGCCCCACGCCCTCACGTCTCGCACTCCGTGACGTGGTCACCTGTGGGCAGGAGGCCTGGCTGGGCTTGTCCCAGGGCGAGCTGGGTCCTCACACAGCTCCAGGCCTTCACTGTCCAGGTGCCGCCCGGGCCTCCGTGGCTCCCAGGCTCCTCTCGGCCTGACCTTGCCTCTCTGCCCCAGGGACATGCCCTGTGCCCGCAACCGCCTCCGTGTGCTCCACCTCAGCTCTGACATGGCACCCGACCTTGGCCTGCACTGCCACCCGAGAACCACACTGCAGGAGCAGGGTGCTGCCTCATCTTCCTTCTCCTTGCCCACAGCTCTACGGGCAGCCTGTGTGCCCAGACATGAGTGCGTGGGCAACCTGTGTGCCCGGACATGTGTGTGCAGGTAACCCCGTGTGTCCAGTCAAGTGTGTGCGGGTAACCCGTGTGCCCAGCAGAGCGTGTGTGGGTAACATCGTATGTCTAATCATGTGCCCAGGTGAGCCCGGTGCTGCCCAGAGCGGTGACACTGAGGCACTTGCTGAACAACCAAGACAGCGGAGGGCTGGGGGCTACGGTGCCCGGGGCCGGTCTCACCCTTCCCAGACCGAGCATGGTGGGTGCAGCCAGCCTGGGGCTCAGGCCCTGCAGGTCTCCCCTGTGGCCTGGTCCCAGGCCCCAGTGGGGCCTGAACAGACTGCCAGGTCCACAGTCACCGTCTCCACGCAGAGCAGAGGCCCCCGTCCAGCAAGCCTCTGCCGTGGCTGACGACTTGTGGGGAGCCCTGGCCCTTTTCCTGTGTGCAGCCACCCCTGGGGGCGATTCCTCGCTTTCCTTCTCGGCCTCGCAGCACTTCCCGCGTCCACACCCTCTGTAAGGCCCCCAGGGACATTGGTGTCGCTGCCTCCCAGGCCGCCCTGGAGCACGGTGGAGCCCGCCTGCTCCCGTGTCCACATCTGCTCCTTAAAACTGGGCACACCCTAGCTCTCGTCTTGGGCACGGCAACAGTCATGTGTTCAGGGAGCGTTGCCCTAATTTCCCCAGTTCTAGCGTGCTGGGTGAGGCGTGCACTTCCCGACAGAAGTGTGCCCGGTCGGCTGCGTCTCCAGCTGTGTGTGAAGCGTCTGTGTGGGTGGCCCTTCAGCACACCCATGGCTCCGGGTGCCGGAGAGGTCAGGGTTGGAGCCTTGGAGACGCTGCTAGGAGCAAGGGTGCATGGGCAGAAGCTCAGGGGGCCCAGAACTTGGGTCCTTGCAGACTCATGGTCAAGGGTGTGAGCCTCGCGCCTCCTAGACCGGAGCCAGAGTTGTGCCAGCAGGGCCTCCACCTGGAGCCAGGGCCCCTGACCCGGCCCAGAGCAGGTGCTGGGCTGGGTTGTGGGCTTCAGGTTCCATGGGACCCAGCTGGGTGGCCCCGGTAGGCTCGGGCTGGTTCCTGGGAGGACGCTGTGGCCAGGCTGGGCCTCAGAGGCTTCTCCTTGGCTGTGGGCGTCACCTGCCTGTTCCTCCGCTGTCCTGGCTAGGACAAGGTTCCTCCATGTCACCTTAGGGAGGGCCTTTGCTGCCTCTCTCGGACTCCCCAGAACAGTGAGACCACCGGGCCAGGCCTGTCCGTCACCCCATGGGCTCAGAGTGTGCATGTCCCTCTGGAAGTACACAGTGGCATGTCCTGGGGAGCGCGGGCAAAAACTTGCAGGATGGCGAGAGCACGGTGCAGCTGGTCACGCGGCGCTCGGCGTGGGGAAGCCTCAGGTTTACCTCTCTTTTTACTCCAAGAGATTTTTCCCATAGGGTGTGTGCGAGTGCTCGCTGGAGAGACAGACAGAAGGCGATAAATCACCCCTGGGGGGTGGCCACGCCACAGTCCCTTCTCTTCCATTCTCCTCTCGGGACCTTGGGCACGCACGCACACATGCCCGGAGTGAGTATAAGCTGCCGGGTCTGGGACTCAGTGATGGGCCTGTGGGAGTCCAGCGCCTTAACCACCATGCCCCTGCTGGCCCCTGAACTTGCTCTTCGGTGGACTCTGTCTGGGGCCTATGAGGGGCACTGCTCTGTGAGACCATGGGGGCACTGCAGGTGCCCGAGTGCCATCGCTTCACCGCTCAGGGAAAACGCGGACTCGCCTTCCGTACCAGCTCGGGGCAGTGGCTAAGAGCCTGAGTCTTCCTCTGTGTCTCCTCTTACGAGGACGGGGACGGGGACGGGGGACCAGCAGATGGCGTGATGGTTAGGTCACTGGCTCCCATGTAGCCCAAGAGCCAGAGAGAATGGAGAGGAGGGTGTGTGGCGTGGCCGCCCCCTGGGGGTGACTCCTTGCTTTCTGTCTCTCTGGTGAGTGCGCGTGTCCGACGGCAAAAATCTCCAAAATGTAAATAAAGGGGTGAGGGAAGAGCCTGGTGGGGAAAACGGCCTGAGGACCTGCTGAGAGCCCCCCAGCCAGCCTGCCTTGTGCGAGTCTCAGAGCAGAGGTGGCCCTGGTAGCCGCAGAGAATGGTGTAGCTGGGCCTTCGCGGACGCTGAGCAGGGGCGTCCGGGCGTGCGGGGGCTCGCGGCTCCTCAGGAGCCAGGCCTCCCTCTTCCCTGAGCACCGGGAAACGCGTCCCACGAAGGCGTCTTCAGAGCGCATTCAGTGCGCCCCTGAACTCGGAGTGTCCGTCCACGCGCTGTCTGCGACGCCTCTCCTCACCCTGAGTGTCTGATGCCTGCGGGCTTCTCGGAGAGCGTGGGCTGGGTGCAGCGCTCGCCTGCAGCACTGCCAGCTATGGAGGGGGGAGGTGCTGCCCAGGTAAACGTCACGGTGCACCTTGCAGGAGCTGACGGGCTGTGTAGTTCTCCGATGTGCCTTAAATAAAATCCAGCTTACTTTCAACGGTATTGACTAGCCCTGGGATTGTCCCCAGCTTAAGGCTGAGCTTCGGTTATGTCCGCATCACGTGTCTGCATCGGTGCCCTGGCCTGTGGCCGCGACGCCCTGGATGAAGTCTGTGTCTCAGCTCTGACCTGTGTCCGGGTCCGTGTGGATCCCAGTCAGTACCAAGGACTTGAATCCCTTTCCAACGCAGGGCCTATTCTATAAGGAAAAATGAATAAAGATGCTCAAACGTAACTGTCGCTAAATGTACATGATGACAAATGCTCCCCCCCAGAACGAGTGGGTGGAAAGCAGATGTCTGGGCAGCGGCAGCGGCAGCAGCGGCCGGGTGCTGCTCACTTCCGGTTGTGAGCTGTTACAGAACGCCGGCCGGGCCGCGGAGCTGGGCCTTCCTTCCTTAGGACAAACCCAACATGGACCCGTGCACGCCTCTCCCTGCTCCACTGAGTTGCGCACTCGCCCCTTTCGGGCCAGCCGGCCCCTCCGAGCCCTCGGGAGTGGGCCGCCCTCCTGCCCAGTATGGCGTCCAGCTGCCACCGTGGGGCCAGGCTGTGGGGAGGCTCCTGGACCGAACAAGTACTGGCCCCTGGGGAGCACCTTGTAGGTTCCGCAGGCACCTTGGGTGTCAAGAGTGCTCCTGTCCCTGGTGGGCAGAGGCGAGGGTGCGACCCCGGCTGCAGCCCCAGCTCCCTGGGCTCCAGTCTCCGAGTTTCCACCTGCACAGTTCCCACAGAGCTCCTCGCAGCCGTGGGGAGCCCAGGACCAAATTTCTCGCAGTGGGAAACGCACTAGACTCCATGTGCGTTCTCTGCCCGACCCAGCCTGGGCCAGCAGGTGGGTGCCCTCTGGCCTCCGGGGTCAACCCAGGGTCCACCCAGTCAGGCTGGGCCTTGCTGTGTGGGTCTGCACGGAGGCCTGCTGGGCCCTGGGCCGTGGCCACCTGCAGGTCCTGCTCTGACCGTCCGATGGCCACTCTCTGTCCCTCCCTTCTCCCTTCCTGTGGCCATGTGGAAAGCAGAGAGCGTTCGAACCACCCCCTCCATCCAGAGTTCAGAGAGAAAGGCCGTAGTGGGGTTTTCTAAAAAGTGCTCCTGATGAACAACTGCGCATGGGTTTCCAGCCACCTTCTGCATGCAAATCCACCTCGCACGTGCCGGAGTGGTGTGGAGTGCCCTCCCTCCCTGCAGCGGTGCGTCTGTGTCGGCCGGGCGGCCCCTCATGGCGGGCGGTGTCCTGCTGCTCTGAGTTCCCGGTGGCCTCGCGCTCACCTTGGCTGGCGGTCGAAAGAGCGTGCTGTACACACTATTAGACGCAGTGTGTTCGCCTCGGGTGGCCCCTGGGCTGGATCCTGGGCTGGAGCACGTGCCTTTGCTGGATGGCCAGGGTGACCTCGGGCTGGCCTCTGTCCTAGCAGATCTGGTCTGAGCGGGGGTCCTGCTCAGGAGGTTCGGCGAGAGCCCCTGCCTGGGACCCCCTGCTCCCAGCTCTCCTGCGGACTCTCGGTCCCCCCCGTCCCGGCTGGCCAGGAGTCGGCCCCGTCTCTCCCTGCAGGCCCTGTTCCTGTGGGCGTGGGCTCCCACTCTGCTCTCCCTGCAGGCCCTATTCCTGTGGGCGTGGGCTCCCATTCTGACACGTGTCTGCTTCTTGTTCCCCTTGAATAGTGACAAGGTTTGGCTCTCCATCTAACATGGGGCCTGGAATAACCAGAGGTTCCCTGGGGATCGGCTGCGCGGCAGGCACTGGAGGCACCTGGCTCTCATGGGAGCCTTTACCACCACCTCCTGGAGGGGACCGCCTATCCGGCGTGGGCGAGGCTGACGGCCTCTGCTGTAGCCGGTGTGCACTCCCGAGTGCTGGCTCGCGTGCCCCGGTGTCCTGGTCTGCGTGTGTGGGGTGCACGCTTTCTCCTTTGCAGCTCCCTGTCGGCAGAAGCACCTACTGATGGGGTGGGAGCTGCCCCTGGAGCCCCTTGTCTATCAAGTGGGGTCACGGGAGCTGAGGTCCTGGACGAAGCCTGCTCACACACGAGGTGGTGCCGCCCCCGCCTCCCCTGCTCCCAGCTCTGGAAGCGAGCACATCCCTGTGCACAGCTGGGCCCAGCTCCAAGGGGACGGCCAGAGGGCGTCTACGTACCTTCGATGAGAAGCGTAATTGCCGGTGATGTGTCCAGACCCATCACAGCCAGGGGTGGGGCACCTGCACCAAAAGTGGGAACACGGACTTACTCCTCAGACGCGGAAGCTCTGAGCAAGCGCTGGCCCGCCCACCCAGACCTCCGCACTGCTCGGCCCCACGCTCGGGAGCGGCTGCCTGCCCCAGACCATGACGCCGGCTCCCTTCCCCACGCCACGCTCTTTCGGGAGGACCGTGCGTTTCAGGAGCCACGTGGGCTCAGTGTCAGGGCTGCTCTCTGCCCAGTTTGGAGCCAGAGCCCCCCACTGTGTGCCCCTCCTGACCACGGCGAGCTTAGCCAGGCCCAGGTCAGCCAGCCTCGCTGTCTCTCCAGGCGGGCGGCCGTGGTGTGAGTGCAGACAGCAGCCTTGCCTCAACCAGCACTGGCCAGCCCGGTGACCCAGGACCATGCAGGCCGCAGCCTGGGCCTCTCGGACAGGCCTCGTGCACTTGGTGGGGTCTGACCGGCAAGTCTCCTGGCCGACTGGACCAGAGCACAGACACCCCCGGACCCCGCGGGCAGGCAGGGCCGTGGCCATGCTCAGGAGGCCGTGTGGCCCAGCAACTTCAGCCCCATTGCTTAATTCCGGCCTTGCCGTGCGCAGGGGAGGGTTTCTTCTGGAGTTTTCAGACTGCCTTCCACAGAGCTGCTCAGGACGGAGGGGGCTGAGGTACACCCTCTGCAGGGGCTCCTATTGTCTTGCCCCAGCATGAGCGAGAAAGGAAGGACGAAGGTCAGGGAGAGCCCTCTCTCTTCCCATTCGTCTGTAACTCAGAAGACGGCAAACAGACACACAAGTGGGCCTGAGCGGGGTGCCCGGTGAGGCGGTGCCATGAGGTTGGCCGCGTGCAGAGACCTCCCTGAAGGTGCTGGGAAGGCGTGTGCCTGTGGCCTGGGCAGTTGCCGGGGGTCGTGCTGCAAAGACGCTTTTGGGTGTGCCTGTCTCTCTGTCTCTCCCATGCTCGTGGTAAAAAGAAATAAACTAACTTAAAAAAATAACGACCACGAGGGGCCAGCAGACGGCATAGCGGTTACATCTCTGGATTCCCACGTGGCTGACCTCAGTTCCAGTCCAGGACGTGGTGACCTGAAACTCCGGCCATGCATGTGCGTATGTGCCCACGATCCCAGGAGGAGACTGGAGAAGGGACGGTGGTGTATCCCCCCGGGTGATTTCTCCCTTCCCCTCTCACTGTCTCTGTCCCTTTCTCTCCCACTCCAGTGAGCACATGTGCCTTAATGCAAAAACCTGTTAAAATAAAAACAAGAGCGATGAAGAGACTTTGTGAGCCACATCCCCATGACTGAAACGACCCGGATACAGCCGGATTCTGGCCAAGGACCCAGACCCCGCACGTGGCAGTCTGGGGAGTGAGTCCACTCAGAGTGCGGCCAAGGGGGTGCCGAGCCCGCCAGCAGATCACCCGCCCGGCGGGCTCTCTCAAGGCCGAGCGGCCCGTGGGTGGAAGGGCCGGCTGCTACAGCACGTGTGCTACGTGGCATGGTGTGGACGTAGCGGACCTTGGTCTCCACGCTTCTGGGTGTCCTGCAGTCCCAGGAGGGCCATGGCTCTAGAGCTTGGGTTGGACCCTGGGCTCTCCTGCCACGAGTGCTGTGTTGTGTGATGCAGCCAGTGAGGACTCTGGAGTCTGCCCTCTGCCCCCAACTCCGTGGGGATCAGGAGACAGTTTGGGGTCGGTTGGTGACGAGGGGCTTCGCATGCCACCTGCTCACCGGGAGCAACCAGCCTGGGCCAGGGCCTCCTCTCGTCACACGGACGGCGTGTGCTACATGGGCCCACTCGAAGACCACGTGCATGACTGGCCTCGACTAGCTGACTTCCAGGTGGCGCCCCCGGGGTGAGCCCAACTGGGACACACACAGGGCAGGAAACGCGGCCAGTAAAATCGCCCTGTTTAAAATCAATCTTCATGCACATTTGTTTGAAAAATGTATTAAGAAACATACATGTTTCCTACCAGCCAATAATAGACACTCGACCTAACTTTTTGCTCAATAAAAGAAAAAGGATTCTTAAACTCTTTCTAATATAAGCATGTACTGCAAGTTTATTTAAAATTTCTTCTTTTTTTAGAGGTTATTGCCTTTTTTTTTTTTTTTTTTGGGAGAGGTTTTTGCTATCGGGCACGTGCACTCGCTAGAAAGACAGAGAGAGACAGAGAGACAGAAAGCGAGAAATCACCCCCAGGGGGG